AAAAAGTTGGCTAAGTTAGTGTTTTGGTATGGAAGTACTGGAGAAGTCAATTATATTCTTGGTATAAAATTCTTATGAGACTGAAAGAATAAGTTGTTGGCATCACCTCAGGCTACTTACATTGACAAAACTCTTGCCAAAATTCAACATGAGAATTCTAAGAGAAGAATTATAAATTCTCAGATGTGGAATTTATTTTCCTAAGGAGTAAACAAAAGACTCCTAAGAAGAAAGAATGCATGAGCAAGATATCTTATGTTTTGGCAAAGGTAGACTCATGCATATCATGTTGGGCGTTAAACTAGACATTTGTCACGCAGTGGAGTAGTGAGACGGTACCATTTTGAATCTAGAGGAATACTAGATTATTGTTAAGCATGTACTCAAGTATCTTTGGAGAACGAGAGATTATATGCTAGTATATTATAGTGGGAGTCTTGAAAAACTGATTTTTCACTAATTCAGTTATTTCAAGCGAATTTTGACTCAAGAAAATCAACCTCGAGCTATGAGATTTTCACTAAACTCATATAACATTAAAGGTGGATCTTGCAGACCCAGTTACTAAGAGTTTTCCTGAACTTGTGTTCGAGAGGCATGTTACTTCTTTGGGTCTTAAGAGGATCCCAGACTTGCATTAAACGAGTGGGAGATATTGGGTTCATTGTGCTCTTGCAGTAAGACAATGAAATAATGTAATCATTTTCTGAATTTTACAAATAAGGTATTATTTATTTTGCGCACTATTTACAAACATCAAGGTCCGGATCAAATTGTGGAGTATATGATCATATGGATACGTTCATGGAGGACATGATCATAGGTTATCACAATTGATGAATGGATTCACAGCTGTTAAATAAATTTGGGCACTTTATTTAGGCTGCAATATTTTATGAAATGGTTTTGTCCGAATCATTGTAAAATATTGGTGTGAATTAACATTCACATTGAAAGGATCAAGGAGAGATTTGATTAAGGTTGTTTTTCTGCCATAAGGTATCAAATCTCCAGTTAACTATAGTTATGTAATTGCTCTTAATCCTGAGTTTATTATAAATAGGTAATCAAATAGTTTTCATTCTTTGATTTACCAACGGGTGAGGTTCGATCTATTGACAGCCAATAACTCGGTATTTTGGGAGTGAGATTATTTGATTATCGGTATTTATGAGATAAACAATATGAAATTTGTAGGATATGTCCCCTTGATATGTTTCGATACTTGGATATTAAAGACACTGGCCAGTGCATGTAATCCATTAGAGAAACTATCATAGTCAAGGGAATAAATAATTGATTGAGTTACATAAAACTTGTCAATCAATTATAGACATTCTACAAAGGGACGATGCATATTCATGTCATAAAGGTCATTAATCTTGGAGTTCACGTTCGGACTTTTAGTGGAGTAGCGCCGAATTAGATAATCTTTCAAAGATTATCTGGAGTTGATGAGTGACAAATGGTAGATCCACAGGCTAGCTCGAGACAAGGGATAAGTTGTATAATCAGATGATGATGGCTTATGGGCTACGTAGTCTTGGGTTTATGAACTCAAGTTTGTGTCCAAAAGAGCAAGTGAGAGATTGTTGGGTTTAGTACGCTCTTTTCACTTAAGCTCAATAGCTTCAGTGAGAGTGAGCCCAAAGTCCAATTTTAACCCATGAAGCTTAGGGTTAGTTTTGGATTGGGCAGAGTATATAAACTCTCTTTTCTTCTAGTGCCTCCTAGGGTCACTGACATCAGAAACACAACCAAAGAGGCAGACGTTCATCATCTGAACGGTTGCCCACACGACCCCCTGATCCCCTTGAGTCATAGTTTGGAAGATCAACCGTAGAACGGAATTGCGACCGTTCGTGGTGCGTTCTTGCAAGATCGTGAGGCTTGACAAGGAGAACTGAAGGTGAGAAATCGTCACGTTCGCTTCTTCACCCCAGATAATCAAAGCGGTGTCTTCATTTCTCAATGCATCGATATGATGCGCTTTCACGTTTCTGATGATATACCTTCATTTTGTACTTATATAAATCGGCGCATAGCACAAAATTTTTACACTCGAGTCAGACACAAATGTGAATTGTGATACGAAAGCCATCTTCGGCGTCACGGGGTTAGTTTTTAACAGTTAGCGGGCCCAAAGCCAGTGACAGTGATAGGTTTTGACTGAGTCACTATCATAAGAGAGAACAGAACAGAGCAATGCGAGATTTGATTTGTTTTGGATTGGAATGAAGAGACAGAACAGAGGAGAATGGATTTCCACTCCAGCTGTTGTCATACATACATACTGTCTTCCTCTCGAAAATATTTTCACTTTCTTCACCAATTTCAACTTGTTAATTTTCATTACTGTTAACATTAATTTCTTTTGAACTTTGTTAACAGGGGCTTTCATGTCAAGTAATTAAAAATAATAAATATTAAATTAAAAGTATATAACATTTGACATATTAGCAATTTAAAAGTATTTTTTGTTTTCTTATAAGTAATTAACAATATTTAATAAGAGATATTAAACATTTTTTAATAGGTATTCTTAAAGGGAATGATAATATCTTGTAGTAGGAGATGTTTTATTTCATGCACCAGAGACATTCTTGTAGAATTCACTGTTTTTTTTTTTTTTTTTTTTTTTTTTTAAAAAGAAAAAAAATATTGGCACAATTGTGGAAGTATGTGCAGGAAGGCAGAGAATTTTTAGTTAAGCCCATTCTTAAAACACTGATTCGGAATATATTTTTTTTAGCATATAATTTTATAAATCAATTTTGTTTGTATTATTATTCATTCGAGGGATGCTAATCTGTTGAGAAAATAGTCAGGCGTAAAAGGAGAAACTTCTCAAATTAATTTTTTTTTAACACATAAATGTAGAAATTCAACTTAAGACCACATACGTAAATGCAACAATAATATTAAGTTTTTTTTTTTTCATACGCAAAAATCTCACAACAAATCAAGAAGCATTGATTCAAATGTTGAGGAATTTCTTCCTCTCCGTATTATAATAAAATTTACGATCACATTTTTCCATGTTCAATTTAAAATCTTATTTATTATCATTTATATTTAAGTTAAAATTGGATAGATTATCAGCATGTAAAAAGACTCATAATAGTCAAATAAAACAATATCGTTGGACTATAATGATGAAAAATAATGTATAACACGTAACTATTGGAATCTTATAATAAAATTCTGGTTATGTATATTAGAATTTAAAATTCAATTCTTCTACTTTGAAACAATTAAAATTTGATTATTTTTTATTACAAATGTAATATATAAACTCATCTAGCATACTCATATCATATGTCAATACCATATACATTTTAAATCATTTTATTGAAATATTTGTACAAAAGTAGCGTTAATACTTTCCCACAACATGCCAAATATCAACTCTATAACATAATTTCCAACTTTTATAAGAATGCAACGAACCACTTTAAAGTTCAACTATCACTTTTAAAAAGTAACGTTTTTTTCAGTTGTTAATATATTAAGTTGTTCATTTTTTATTTTTAACTAATTTTATTACTCAAACAAAATATCTTATATTTTTATGGGCGTCAGATGTACATAAACTAAAAATTGAATGCAATTGCATAAATGTGTAACTTACTGCTAGATTTTGATATTTTGTTTAATTATTCAAACGTATAAGTATTGGAAAAAATAATAATTTAAGAACAATAGAAATTTTTAGAATTTTATTCGATGGGGAATGATATGTTTACAAAAAAAATTTACAAATTTTTACAAATTACACTATGTACTCCCGAGAGTACATAGTGTAACCTAGTGTTCTCCCGAGAGTATATAGTGTAGTTTGTAAACAAAAAATTTGTAAATATAACTCTCTCTAATTTTATTGCGCAAAAAAAAAAAAAAAAAAATTTAATAAATTGTATAATTTTTTTTAATAGGATTATATTTACAAACTAAATTGTTTCTAAACTATTACAAGCAAATCTTAACCGTTAATTTCCGTCTATTTAACTGTTATTATTTGTTGAAAATTAATAATTAATTAATAAGTGTGACCCAATAAATTATAATTGTTAAAATGACAGAAATCAACAATTAAGATTTCGTTGTAAGAGTATGTAAAAAGGAAAAAATATTTATCCTTTTAAAAGATATATAATTGTGTTATTTTAATTGAGAGAAAGAAATAACCTATTATTTTTTATTTAAAATTTAAATTTAAAAAATCACTCACTTTCTCTCCCATTATTTTTATTATTAATATTTTCTCTCATTTAAAATTACTTAACACTATATCCTTTACAGGTACAAACACTAATTAAACCCAAATAAATATAACCATTCCCAACATTTTTTTACCATAAATATAGTGTCACTTATGACTCAAATAAATAAAAAAGGTTATTTTATGACTCAACCACTTATGGTGTATTATACTGTATTACAATTATATAGTGTCACTTAATATCCAAAATTTGAACGAAAATAATTAAAAAGCAAATTAATGACTAAAATGAAATGAAAGGATAGATCAAAGAAGCAGCAGTCAAGGAGACCAAGGCAAAATTAATCCCCGCGTCACTTCTCTACTGAGTCCTGATTGATTAAGTATAGGGCATTGACATTACCTTCTTGAAATAGCCCAACTTACAAGTTAGATGTGGTGGCTTTACTGCGTCGCAGGTTGAAAATTGAAAGCGAAAGGTTTGAAATTTCGAAACTTGAAAAATTACAAGTCCGAGAGCAGGAAAGGGTCAGCCACTTAACACAATAGGCCGCCAAGTCCAGTCTTATGGATTTGTCAAGATTTTCTCTCTCTGACTTCTTCCCCTCAGTTTTTTGTTGTCGTTCCTTCATAAATAATGGGATGTGTGTATATATATATACACCCCCACCCAAGATTTATTATTCCCCATCTGCAATCTTCAAATCCCTTCAATAAGCCCCTAATTCTCCTAAACACAAAACATACACAAAGAGAAGACCCTTCAATTAAATCCCATATGGCTTCTTCCTTACAAACCACAGCTATACTTTCTTCTTCTTCTTGTTATTCTCTAAGGGCAGTCAACGCTTCCATCCATGTCCCAAAACCTCCTCGAGTTTCTTATTCGGTTCCAAAAGTACCAACAAGAAAGATGCAGCAGATTGAGGAATTTAATGGGTCCATAGACACAACCCCATTAGAGAAGAATGTCATCACCACGCAAATATACGATGGTGTATACAACAACCCCAACATTAAGCCTAAGGCCACTGTTCAGCTCTATGCAATTCTAGAGGAAGTAGCTGACAGAATTGAAATGCACAGCAACCTTGTCCAACAACGGGACAACTGGAACAATCTTCTTTTAAACTCCATCAATATGATGACTCTCACTGCCACAGCCATGGCTGGTTTTGCAGCCACAAGTGGTGGTGACAGTGCACCGCTTTTCTCTCTGAATCTATCGTCAGCTCTTTTGTTTTCTGCAGCCACAGGGATGTCGCTTGTCATGAACAAAATTCAACCCTCACAACTCGCTGAGGAACAACGCAATGCAACTAGGTTGTTTAGAAAGCTTCAGACCCAAATCCAAACCACAATTGCACTTGGAAATCCTACAGAGGAAGATGTGAAGGGTTCAACGGAGAAGGTTTTGGCCCTTGACAAAGCTTATCCACTTCCCTTGTTAGGGGTTATGCTTGATAAATTTCCTGCAAAATTTGAACCTGCTGTTTGGTGGCCTTCCACTCAGTTCCAAAGGGAAAATAAAACCCACCAAGGATCAAAAGTGGAGAGCAAGAATAATGGATGGAGCAAAGAACTAGAAATGGAATTGAGAGAGGTTATTGAAGTGATAAAGAGAAAAGACGCTGAGGACTATGAGAGGCTGGGAAACATTGTGCTAAAGATCAATAAGACTTTGGCGATAGCAGGGCCTTTACTCACTGGCATTGCAGCAGTGGGTTCTTCCTTTGTAGGGAATGGGTCATTGGCAGCTATAGTGCCTGTTATGGCTGGGTCATTGGCTGCTGCAGTTAATGCTTTTGAGCACGGTGGACAAGTAGGCATGATATTCGAAATGTATAGAAACTGTGGTGGATTCTTCAAGTTGTTGGAAGAGACAATTGAAGCAACACTTGACAAAGACTTGGACAAAAGAGAAAACGGTGAGCTATTTGAAATGAAGGTAGCAACGCAGTTGGGAAGAAGCGTTTCGGAGCTTAGACAACTTGCCTCAAAATCTACTTCCTATCGCGTGGAAGGAATTGCCATAGATGAATTCGCAAGCAAGCTTTTTTAACTTAACATTTCTTGATGATGCATTCTTTTGTTCTTTTTATTTGTTGTAAAAGTCCTCTAACATAGCTTTAGAGACCGGAGAGAATCTGTCTATATATATATCTAGATCTGTATCTTCATGTACTTGACCGGAACAATTTATTTATTATATTGAAAACTTCTATTTGTGAAAGATTTAAGCAGTGATTGAAACATGCATGTTCCATGCTTTGGTCTTATGATTTTGTACTTCGATTTTATTTTTTTCATTTGTTTTTTCGGGTGTAGACTTGAATTAATTAATGGATATTCTTTATTGTTTGGATTATCATAATTAACAGTCAGTTACTTTGCCTTTTATGGAGATGGAAATAATGTTATGTTTTTATATATATATGCTTAAAAGGACGTTCCAAAATATTAAATGTTCTACAAAAATCACGCGCCATAGATAATGCACATGACTTCTGGAATTAAATTCAAGAAGCTACACATAAAGCTATTTCCCCAAATCATTTTTTCCCCCATCAAATTATCTAGATTATTTGTCATATAACTACAAGCATCAAGAATAAAATTGAGTTTTAATCTTAAATAGAACAAGCTAGCATATTATATATTGAATCAGTTATGAAAAACAAAACACATATGTGTGTGTGTAATGTTAACTTACACCTCCACATATATTATCACTTGACTCCTCGCGTTTCAAACTACACAATTTATTTTGTATTCCAATTTTTAAGTTTGAATGTAAAAAATGCTCATTTACCTTGTTTATTTCTTTAGCCACTTCCACGAATAATATTCCACCATGCATGCACCAACTGCAAAGTGCAAACGATTCCATCTCTTATAACATCTATCCTTCAAAATCCGAGCGACATGATGCATTGTAAAAGACAGGTAAAGCAAGGCTTGAGTCAATTTCTACTTTGAAAGAAAGGAAGAACTGAGGAAGCAGTTCGGGTGTTCTGGCTATTCATCATTAATTTAATTAAAGTTTTTATTATTATCTTTAAGAGTTTACACGAAAGAGTTCTGCCGTCTGTCGAGAACGAAGAAATTGCGTTGAGATTACGTTTTATGGTTGTCATATTCTTCCAAAAAAATTCATTTAAAAAGAGGCCATAAGGCTTTTTTTTATATTGAAATTAAAAAATTAATAGTGTGACGAGAGTGTGACGTCGATCGGGTCTATACGTATAAAAAAAATCATAAAAAATTTAAGTGAGGAGTTTATTTATTAAATATTTTATGACAACATATTCCAGGTCACTCAATATTTAATTAATTATATTTTCTGCCATTATTTCTTGTGATTAAAATTTATTTTGGATTTATTTTTTATGCAGTTCCTCTAAAATCAAACACATCCTTAATGTTCGCCGTTCTTGAATATTAAATATGCTGGTAAAGTCCACACAAAGATTTTGTCAACGAAAGTCCAGTTTTCAAAATGAGCTGATTGGAGCATTTAGATAATTCGCATGGGCAAAGGCTGTTCTAAAAGGAAATATACTTACACATACATATAAAGCATATATAGAAGTTGAACAGGATAATTTATTAAATCATATTTTACATTAGTCGAGAGATAAGAATAAGAAAAAAAAATGTTAAACAACTTCATTTGTGAAATTCCGGTGTTGAACATGTCCGTGCGCCAATCACTACTCCTTCAAAAAATTATTAAAAATAAAAATAAAAAATCAATGGCCTCCTTACATAGTCATGGCCATTGTATTATATTGAAAATTGAAAAAGTAAAAGCTGCTGGCTGAAATAAAAATGAATAGTATACAAAAAGTTAAAAGTTTGTGTTTTTTAAACGAAGTAAGTTATGTCTTTTTAGTAATTTATAACTATGTATTAAGAATAGTACATAATTTTAATATTAAAATTATATATTTTTTATTTTCAACATGAGCAAACAGTATCTAAAAAGAGAAAAATAGGTATAATTTTAAGGGAAAAATATTTCTACAGTTACTGCAGATAAGTTATCTGCATTTATTTTCAAAACGACGTCGTTTTAGTATTGAAATCTTAAAAAATTATAAATATAAAGCCTATTATAACCCTGAAATAAATTAAAATTACAAAAATACCATGATTTTCGCCCCAAAACGATCTGCAGTAACTGCAGAAAAAGTAAACCCTAATTTTAATATTATAATTATGGAAAAAAACAAATATCATGTTGTAGGACAATTCTCTTGTCATGCTATAGAGACAATAAGTGTGGAGTCCACCATGTATAAAATAAAAAAAAATACAGCATAAATATCGATGTATATGTAGGAAAATTTGTATTTGTCACGTAACATGACAAATGCAAAACCCTATAATTATATATCATCCTTAATATATAATTATAAATTAGTAAAATGATATAAGTTTCGTGTTTAAAAAAGCAGAAATCATTTCCGCATGAAAAAAATAAATAAATTATAACAGTAGCTTTTGCCTTTTTGTGTATGATAATTATTTCGTCTTTTAAGTAAGGCAATATATGCAGCGTTGTGGTTTTACTACGTCGCATGTTGAGACCCAAACCGAGCCCATAGGCATAGCTGGAAATTTTGAACAGACCAAGTCAATGAAATTGGTCAGTCATGAGTTTCCTTATTTGATTCTGACTATTCCTATCCGTTTTGGTTACTTAATATAAATACCGCCACACCCCTTAGCTTCCCCATCTTAATATTCATAACCTTTTCTCCTTCTAAACACAAAGGCCAAAGCAAACACAAATATACAGAAAACGCTTTCAATTACCCCATATATGGCTTCAATACAAACCTCAACTCTGCTTTCTTCTTCTTTTTCTTGCTTCTCTTCAAAAAGAGTAAATGCCGCAATCCATGTCCCGAAGCTCCCAAGAGTCAATTTCTCAGTGCCAAAGATCCCTACCGGAAAGCTGGTTGAGGGGTTAACATTCACAGACTCAGTGCCATTACTTGAAAATAATGTTACCAGCACACAGTTACGTGATGATTTATACAATTCTACAACCTCTAAGTCCACTATGCAACTCTATGCAATCTTAGAGGCTGTAGCTGACAGAGTAGAAATGCACAAAAACATTGGCGAGCAGCGTGACAATTGGAACACCTTGCTTTTGAACAACATCAACATGATTACGCTCAGTGCTGTAACAATGGCTGGTGTTGCAGCCGCAAGTGGTGCCGGGGAACCGCTTTTGGCTCTGAAACTATCATCCACTCTTCTCTTTTCTGCAGCCACTGGGATGCTACTTGTCATGAACAAGATTCAGCCCTCACAACTCGCTGAGGAACAACGCAATGCTACTAAGTTGTTTAGAAAACTTCAGACCCAAATACAAACCACAATTGCTCTTGGAAACCCTACAGAGGAAGATGTGAAGGGTTCAATGGAGAAGGTTTTGGCCCTTGACAAAGCTTATCCACTTCCCTTGTTGGGAGCCATGCTTGACAAGTTTCCTGCAAAATTTGAACCTGCAGTTTGGTGGCCTGCCACTCAGTTCAAAAGGGAAAGTAAAACACACAAAGGAAAATCACAGAGCAGTACTCATCAGAAGATGGAGAAGAGGAATGGATGGAGCAAAGAACTAGAAATGGAATTGAGAGAGGTTATTGAAGTTGTAAAGAGAAAAGACATTGAGGACTATGAGAGACTGGGAAACATTGCGCTAAAGATCAATAAGACTTTGGCGATAGCAGGGCCTTTACTCACGGGCATTGCAGCAGTAGGATCTGGATTTGTAGGCAACGGTTCATTGGCAGCTATAGTCCCTATCATGGCTGGGTCATTGGCTGCTGTAATTAATGGTTTTGAGCATGGTGGACAAGTAGGTATGGTATTTGAAATGTACAGAAATTGTGGTGGATTCTTCAAATTGTTGGAAGAGACAATTGAAGCTACAATGGAAGAGAAAGACTTGGAGAGAAGAGAAAATGGGGAGCTCTTTGAAATGAAGATGGCTTTGCAATTGGGAAGAAGTGTGTCACAGCTGAGAGAACTCGCCTCAAAATCAGCTTCCTCTCGGGCGGAAGGAATAGCCGTTGATGAATTTGCCAGCAAGCTATTCTAAGCTATAACAACATTAATTCATTCACTTCATTGTTTTGTAAAGTAAAAACATGTTCTTTCATTCTTTGTGTACATTTATCTGATGCAGAAGGAAAATTTAGTTTTAGATCAATGTATATATTTTTTTTAATGAAAAAATTGGATCCGCGACAATTGGTCTCTATTATATTTGATTTAAGAATTTCTTTTTGACAGCTTTTAATTTCTATTTAAAATAGAAATCTTTGACTTTTCAAGCCCATGTTAATTTTTATATTATAATAATTTGGCTGAATATAATAAGCTGAAGTATAATCCTTGTCAAAGCTCTATGAACTTAATTGCTACAGGTAGATCTTAGGAAGATTTATTGATTGAAAAACGATATTTTATTTCATTATCCAATCAGTTGAAATTTCTTAGGAAGTAAGGAAAAGTTTACATAATTAAACCAAGTTATAGCTCCTCATGTTTCTTACCAGACATTTCTAATCTTAATTAATCTGTATAGGTTTGCCTCATCTGAGTTATTTACCTTTCTTACTAGCTAGCTAGACGCACGTTCACTGCCTATCAAAAAATTTTATGATATTAAGGTATACATTGCAGTATATGTTTCTTTTTTTTCTTTTTTTGTAGATTTCTTGAGTTAGATCACGCTTAAGGGAAAACATTATTTAATCTCTTGGTTTTCACTTTTCCCACCAATACAACAGTGAACAACCGCGGCCATAATTTAATTTAAAAACCATTGCGTATTTTTATAGCAAAGTCAACGGTTTTATAATATTAATGTTGTCTTAAGTTGACAAAACAACTGCCAAAAGAATAGGCAATGCTTTAGACTTTTACAGTTCATATTAGATCTGTTGCATAAGGAAGAGACAAGAATTCTCTTGCATTAGGCCACAGTTTTGAGGCTTTGCCGTAGAGAAAAAAAAATGCTCGATATATGAAAGTTGAAAGTTATTTAAGAGAGAAAAACATAGTCAATGAGGGTTGCCTGTCGACAAAAAATAGAGTTTTGGATTTCATTCCTACTAAACTTTTGCTTTTTGAAAAAAAAAAGCTTAATTAATTATTAATTAAAGATTGTAAACCCTTTCATTAAAAATGTTATATTCCTTCCATATTTTTTAAAAGAAAAAAGATACTTGCATTTTAACAGACTGTATATGTTGTTTTGGAAGTTATATATATGTGAACAAGTTGGATACAACATATATTTGAACCACAAGATCTATTAGTGAAATTCATTTTAACAGTCCCCAACGTTTCCCTTCAATTTCATGTTATAGACTAATGAACTCGGGCATTAAATTGGGATTTTGCAAAATATAGCTGCCTTCGCAGCCCGCAGGTATAATAATTAGCTTTTGAGAATGTGTCGCTACGTCAGCATGTGGTGAGACCTAGCCTTGGCACATTATTTTGAACAGGAAAGGTCAATATTTTATAAGAAGCTAAGTGCACGCCTGTTAGCTGGTCAATTTTTCCGTGTCTAGCGGACTAGCACCTTCTCCTCTGCTTAGGGTCGTTATCATAATTACACATAATACGAGGATTTCATAAAAAATAAAATATAAAGAAATACACACAATACAAGGTTCTGACTTTCCAACTGCATTGAATATCTTTCCTTGACTGCAATATCATCTATAATGGGTTTCGTCCTTACAAGCTTCAACGTTATTCAACTCTTGTTCTTGTTCTTATTCAACGTTAAGAGAATCCATTGCGCCATGCCATCCATGCCCCTGCAGCCCCCAGAACAACCCCCAGTTCCTTCTCTGCTCTAAAGCTCCTTAGTTGAACAAATTCGCAGACACAACCCCATTATAAAATAAGGACACCGGAATGAAACTAGATGATGAACTATATAATTCACCAGCTTCTAAGGCCCATTCAACTCTATACAGTCTTAGAGGCTGTAGCTAACAGAGTTGAAATGCACAAAAGCATTGGAACATTCTCCATTTGAACTCCTACAAGACTGTTTAAGCAACTTCAAACCCAGATCCAAACCAAAATCGCCCTTGGTAACCGTAATATTTTATTTATGAATTTAGTGTGTTTTTTTTAAACGACATAAACTTACGTCATTTGACTGTTATAAGTATCCAAGAATACATAGTTATAACAGTAAAAGCCCAATTTTGGGTTCTTAACAAAAAAATACAGCCCTCACATATGTCCTTTACAAAAAAAATTAGTTCTGAGGTCTCTAAGAAATTTAAAGTGGACCTATTCAGTTTAAATCGTGGTCCCTCACAGATTCAAAAAAGATCCACATTAAACTCTCAAAAGAACGATTTACAAAAAAAAAAAAAAAAAACTCTCAAAAGAACTAAAATGGGTCCATTTTAAATTTCATATGGACCACGAGACTAATTTTTTTTTGTAAGAGACAAAAGTGATATCGTGTTTTTTTGTTGGGGATCCAAAATAAGTTTTACTCCACTTATAATATGAAAGTTATTTTTTCTCTTTTTCCACCTCAACCGACAAGTGTCTGGGAAATTTTTGATTTAATATTATAAGTATATATTTCGCAAAGTATATGATTATAAGCGAAGAAAGGATCTAAGCTTATATCCTTTAAAATTAGATATAATTTTCCTTTATTTAAATACAAACTTTCGCTAAATAAGTTGGTTTTGCCCGGGTATTCTGCTAATATTTTAATTACGAGTGAATTGTTTTCTTATATATTGTATTGGATATCTTTAACTTTTAGTGCTTACGTTTGGTTTGAAATCCAGGCCATGTAATTGGGAGTATTTGAATCAGTACGTGATGAAATTTCGAACAGGAAATAGTCAAAGGGCTATGAGATATGTCAACCCCCAACAGCCAGTCAACATTTTCCGTATTTGACCCCTTGTCATATTTTAACATTAGCTACTATATATATAATTGGGATTATTATTTCTTATGTTAAGTAGATAAAATTATTTCTTACAATATAAGAAACATTAATCTCTAAATATATTATGGGGAAAAAATATTTAATATTACTTGAGACAATTTTGTCTAATGTTCACCAAAACGATATCATTTTAGAGTTGAAAAATTTAAAAACTAAAATGAAAAAAATTATTATAACTCTGACTTAAATTAAAATTATAAATACCCCATGATTTCGATTCCAAAACGACGTCATTTCGGTAAACATTAAACAAAGTTGTCTAAAATAACTTTAGAAAAAATTAACTCATGTATTATATGGGTTTATCTTTTGTCATGTCACATTACATAAAGTTATGTCGTGTCATCTCAAAATTACATCGTTTCGAAAGTCAGGGAAATTAATAAATGGTGTTTTGATAAAATTCATAAAATAAATAAACAAATAAAAATATCAAAACACCCTTTATTAACTCTCATAACTCCCAAAACGACGTAGTTTTGGAGTGACATGACATAATTTTATGTTATGTGACATGATAAACAGATGGGAAAAAGATGTGTCATTCTAAATGACACACCTTACATCCTTTCACTCTCACAAAGAGATGAGCCCCACATTTTTAAAAAAAATTCCCCCATTCTCTATCCCATGATTTATCTCTTTCTCTCACTTAAAATAACACAACTTTGTATCCTTTAAAATTATACACACTTTTCCCTAAACAATAATATATATATATAGGAGAAGGATATTGTAACAACCAACTGGTGTTACTATCAATCAATTTCACCATTAGATTGATTATGTTGATCTAACGGTTATATTTATTTCCATCTTTGTATGATTATGATTTCTCATATTTAATATTTTATATTTATTTTCATCTATGTATGGTTATAATTTCTCATATTTAATGCTTTCACATCAAATATGGGGAATCATAACCATACAAAGATGAAAATAAATATAACTGTTGGATCAACATAATTGATCTAACGCTGAAATTGATTGGTAGTAACACTAATTGATTGTTACAATATCGTACCATATATATATATATATATATATATATATATATATATATATATATGAGAAAAATATTTCTCAAGCAGCTCGAGATATTTTATCGCCTTTTAACAAAACTACATCGTTTTATTTATTTATTTTCTTATATTAATTTATTCACCTTTGAATAGTTATGATTTCCTTTTTATCTCTTTTCCTTTATCACTATTCATTCATCTTTGTACGATTATGATTTTGTAGCCGGAGATAAAGTTATCTCAAGCAACTTGAGAAACGATAAGCCCTACATATATATAGGTTTAATATATCTCCAATAGAGATAACTTATCGTCAGCGAACCCAAAAAGATATCATTTTGGATTGGAAGATTAAAAAAAATATAACAATAAAGACTAATATAACCCTATAATAAATTAAAATTACAAAAATATGTTTTTTTAACCTCAAAACTGTAGGATCTATTGGATTTATGCGGAAGCAATTTAAGACCTAGTACATTGGTATGCTTACCGAATCATCCTCGTTTCCATTTACTTCTTGCTGCACAGATCTCGTGTAGAATCTTCCCTTGTATGATTCCTCTTCTCGAACTGCTCACCTCAGCGCCGCAACACGAACAACCTCCTTGTAGCTGGACTGTGGCAGATCTTCCGGACTATGTCTCAAGGGAAAATGAGAAGTGTGTGTGCACTCTCTCACTTTTAAGGAGATGACTTTACCTCAGCCTCTGCAACCACTAAGTGAAGACTAGAGAGGCTGATGACTATAAATGTAGAATATATATGGGTTCCAAGAAATTTTAACCCTAAACAGAATGAGCTTTAAGTTTCTTGGGCTCTTCTTACACACTACGCCCAATAGGTCTTTAGTGAAAGAGCAAAACTCAACAAAAATGATGTCGTTTTGGGCTTATTGAAAATAATTTTATATCTTGTCACTGGAGAAACACTAAACCCTATATATATGTGTGTGTATGTGTGTGTGTGTGTGGTGGGGGGAGGGGTTGTCATTTCTGTAGATGTACAACAATTAAATTTGAGAAATTATAATCATATAAAGGTGGGGTGAAAATATTAAATGTGGAG